ATGTTATTCTCCACATTTCCAGGGAAGTACAAATATTTGATGGAGCCAATTCCTTTGCATATCAATACTGTCAACAAAAGTGTGAAATTAGTGAAACTGTAAAAGCGTCCTAACTGGTCTTCCTGTCTTCTCAATCTCCTCTCTAATCCATTCTTCATAGGGCTACCCAAAAAGTATTCCTAAATCACTTCACTGTTCTAATGAAAAACCCTTCAGAGCCTCCCACTGCCCCTGAATAAAGTAAAAATAATCTCCTGATCCTGGAAGCCAACACCCTAGCTCCAATTAACCTGTTCAGTCTCATCTCTTATCTCTTACAACTCCTCTTCACATACTCTACATTCTAGCTAAACTGAACTACTTGGAATTCTCTAATTTTGTCCCATCCTTTATCTCTGGGTTTTGCTTACAATACTTCATAGAGAATTCCCCTATACCACTAGCTCTAAGTCATTCCTTAAAAGGTCAAGTCAGGCGCTACCTCCTCTGCTGATCATCCTCCTAACTCCTCCCATGTTCCGGAAGGCATGTTTTCTCTTCAAAGCACCACATTTTCTCAAATGTGATCCTGTTGATGTGATGTGTTGTTCTCAAATGTGATTTGTTTATCAAATGTGATGTTCTCAAATGTGAGTTGTTGATCGGTTTTGTTAATTTTTTCCTTTTTCTTTAAAAAACATAATTTGTTACACAGGAAGAAAATACAAATTTATTAATTGTGTACTCTGTGCTAGGCAGTGAAGTGCTCTTCGATATTATCTCACTTGATTCTCAGAATCCTGGGAGGTTACTGCTATTATTATTCCCATTTTATAGGTAAGGAAACTGAAGCAAACAGAGGTTAAGTGACTTGCCCAGGGTCACAGAGCTAGTAAGTGTCTGAGACCCAATGTAAATTCCAGTCTTCCTGATTCCAGGCCCAGTCCTCTATCTACCTAGAAGGGGGGGGGAAGGAGAGGAATACTAGAAGAAATTTAGATGATGTAAATACAAAAGATATTAATCTCAAAAAAAATTTTTTACAAGGGATCATGGTGAAAATGATTCTTGAATAAGACAGTTGCAGGAGTAAGGTCTCAATATTATAATTATGTTCTTCATCAGTGTTGAAAGATTGTAAGCATCTATCAAAGCCTAATTAACAGAATAAGGACAAGCAATGTTTCAGGAGTGATAAAAACCATTTCTCCAGCTAAAAGAAACCAAGGCAAGGCTCTCATAAGTAGGCAGTCCCAGCCTGACCTGAGCAGTTAGTATTCAAGCAAGACAAATAACCAAGATTGCTCTAAACCTGGGTGATCCTGTTTGTCACTTCTTTTGTAAGATAAAACCCAGATCTCCCTGTGGTTAAGTAGGTTAATACCCCAATAAACTAAGACTTCAAGTAATATAATTACATCCTGTTTTATGGCATCTATAAACCAAACAGGACAGGAAGACAAATCAAAATATCAACCAACATTAAAAATGCTTCGTTTCTACAGCATAACTCCTTTGCTGAAATAATTTCAACCAGGTAACACTAACAAGTTGTTTCCTGTAAGTGTGCTCTATTACCAAGAATTCCAACTTTGAACAGTAATATTACAAGCTAATATATATGTTAAAAGTCTCTCATTCTCCAGATCTAGACATTCACTCCGAAGCAGGCAGTAGCTTTAAAAGAAAACTTGTATATTTCCCTCCTTGTTATCTAATTTTACCCATGTTCCTCTACTATATTGAGGTGGGAGAATAGCAGCCAGGTGAGTCTGGTGACTTGGAATAACCTTAGGGGAAACAGCCACAAAATCTAGATTTCCAAACCGAGATATCTGCCATACTCCAACACCTGTCACACTCAACTTCATCTCAACCATTTGCCCTTTATTTTCCACTTCCTCTACTTAGGCAGTACTCCCTGCATCCACCTTAAAGCTGGCACTGTGGACCTGAAGACCAACATTCAAGCTGTTTCAAAGTTTGTTGGGGGGTTTTTGTTTTTGATAGCAACATCTCAAGAGTTCATTACCAGAAAAAACTGGCCAGAATGGAATCCCACAAAGAAATACCTGTTCAGTACAAAGCACCAGGCATCTTGAGAAGTCCAGGCAGATTTAACTCACATATGTTAGCATTCTTCCCTACTGCTAATTGAAAAATGGATATCTCTCCTCCTCAGTAAGCTCCTAGGATTCTGTTAAAAAAATGTTATTTAGGGGCAGCTAGGTGGCGCAGTGGATAGAGCACCGGCCCAGAAGTCAGGAGGACCTGAGTTCAAATCTAGCCTCAGACCAAGCAGCTGACACTTACTAGCTGTGTGACCCTGGGCAAGTCACTTAACCCCAACTGCCTTAAAAAAAAAGCAGCCATAAAAAAATGTTATTTATAACAACATACAGGGATTCACTCACTGTTAGGGCACCTCCTAGAACTAAGGTACCACGATAGCAGATACCATATTATTCAATTAGGTTAATGTTTCCCATACTCATATGGCTTATACAGATAGATCAATCAAATTTATCTATATAGTGCCCATAATTGTTAGTGTCAGGAGGACAAAAGTATAAGATAGCTCCAGGATAAGGGACAAGGGGAGTAATCAGAATTTCTGGAGCAATATAGGGGATATTAAGCCAGTTCTCTTAACCCCAAATTTATATGCACACACATATTTGTGTGCATACACACACATACACTATACACAAAGCTTATGCATACATGTATACATTGTATGTAGATATGAAATTGCATGTGCGTACATATTCATGTCTCTACAATATAAACATATATGCATAAGTTTGGTACAGTGGAAGGACTTCTACATTTGAAATCAAGAGGATCTAGGTTCCAATGCTAGTTCAACTTAATATCTGTGTGACCTTGGGCAAGTTACAACTTCAGTGGGCCTCAGTTTCCTCATCTGTAAAATGAGTAGGTAGAGTTAGATGACCTTTAAAGCCCCTTCCAGCTCTAAACCGATGAACCTATGCTACACTGCTTATTTCTGCTTTAAACCGATAAACTTCTTTGAAACCATCTGTAATTGTAAAGAAAATAATGAAAGAAAATATTGGTAGCATCGCGGAATTCCTATTTACATCCACAAAAACCACAGTTCCACAGGAAAAATGTTTTAGCAAAAAGTTAAGCTATGGTGAACCTATTACATGTCTAGATCACATCTTACAACTCACTCCCAGACCATTATGAAATACAATACCATGTAATCAACCAATATATGCCACAAAATCTCAAAATCTAGATAACATTATCAGAAAAATAACAGAAAGTGCAAAGTTGGAATCCAAATTAATACCATAAGAATTATATAAATAATGCTTAATGACAATTCTATACAAACATTTGTACTAAATATCCTCTACTAAAAAACCATTTTCTGAAACTCCTCTCAAAGCATTATCAATATAATGGAACTGCATGAAATTTCAAAGAACCATTTACTATTCTAAACTGAAGCACCTTGGTTATTTAACATTACTTAGTTTTATGGGGTCTACACAAGTAAGCATATAATGATCCATTATTTGCTTGGTTATCAGAACTACACAGCTTTAAAAATCTTTGAAAATTACAAATGAACCTCAACAAAGTTTCCTTCACTAAACCTGCACTTTTTACGCAAGCAGGTAACTAGCTGAAGACTATAATTTTCCCCTACTCAAGCAACATCAGTCTCTATACCCTAGAAGAAGAAAATGTGGTGATGACACAGCTTCAAATTGTGGCAAAATCAAAATGTTTTCTAACTTGCTTGGTCAATTAACAGAAAAATGGACATTTCCTAGGGGTTCTAAAATCTTTTTAAAGAAATGAAGCTATGAGTGGCTGGCATATTAAATTATGAGTGGGAGGCAAGAACATTGATCTATCATCTTCCAAAAGAATTAACTAGCAATTAGTTGAAGTAGTTGGTGATTCGTCTCCTATTCTCCATTCGGTACACCTGGAATAAATACCCTTCACCTTACAACCTCTGCTCTGATTTCCTACATGCCTGCATTGATGAAAGGATGCAGAGAATATCCAGAAGGAAAACATTCCACATCCAGGCACTTCCTGGGTGAGCCCTAGTTCCACTCCAAGAACATAGCATAACAACTTCTGCATCTTGTCTATCCTGCTCAGCTAAGAGAAACATCTGGCAGGGAGGTTCCAGGGAGCTTGATGGAAGGAGAAACCAGGAAATAAAAAAGGAAGATTCAAAGTCACTTCACTCTAAAATCTCTTTTCTCATTTAAATAAATAAAAAAAAGAGGGGAGGTGCACTGGGTGATCTCTAAGGTCATTTCCTGCTCTAATTCTATGATCCTAAATCACTTCCAGTACCCAGGCCTCAGCTGCTCACCTTTAAAATGAGGGTATCTGGACCAGATGCCCTCTAAAGTCTGAGTCTTAAATTCCATGATTCCATTAATAATAAAAGGCCAAAGGGCACCTAGCAAAGAGGAGGATAAGGGAGAAGGAATGGGAAGGGAGAGGGGCGGGGCAAAATTACTGACATTGGGACGAAACGGAAAAAAGTGAAGAGAGTCGAGGTGAACCGTTCAGTTTAGTGAGGGAAGAATGGCGAAGTGTCTGAGACTTTATATAGAGAGAATGATATAGTAAGGGGACTGACATAAAGGAGCGTGTGGGATATTGAAGGATATCGGCCTGGACGGCTGGGGCGTGAGGGACGGGGTGAAGGAGAGGGGACCGGACCGAGAAGGAAAGGACAGACCCGGAGGGTCCTGAAGTGAAGACGCTGGGGGAGGGGAGCAGGTTGAGGTCCTGGAAAGGAACGGGTGGGGGAGGGGAGAAAGGGACGGTGTGCGCTCGGGGGAGGGCGGTGCTGCGGCGCGGGGGCAGCGGAGCCCCGGGAGGGGGCCCCGGAAGCAAGGGGCGGGCAGGGGGGACTGAAATGAGGGCGCGGGTCCCAGAAGGAGGAAGAGGGTGAAGAGGTGGAGGGCTCTGCCCCGAAGAACGGCGGGGCGAGCGGGCGGGCAGCGGCTCACCGAGCGCCACCTGGCAGGCTCTGCGCAGCTGGGAGTGCTGGGGCCGCTTCACCTCCTTGTCGGCCAGGATCTTCTCCAGAGCCCGGGACACGAACATGCTCTTGGTCTGGCTCTCCTGCATGGCCGGGGTCGGGAAGGTGCTCCACCGGCTGAGGAGCTGAGCAGGAAGGGGATCCCGGGGCTCCGGGGCGGGCACAGGCTGCCACCGCCGCCGCCGCCGCCCCCCGTCAGGAAGCGACACCGCGGCCCCACGGCGCCGCCATGTTGGATCCCATCACGTGACGAAGACGCAGCCTCCGCCCCCTCGCCCCGCTCCCTCCGCCTCGCCCCCAGCCCCGCCTCCCGCTGTGAGGGAAGGAGGGAAGAGGGTCACGGAGAACTCTTAAACATCGTTTAGTCCGGCTCTTTCGCAGCCTGGGTGCGACCTTAGAGGCCCACTGGTCCAACCCGATCTAACTGACGTGTCCAAGGTCATGGAGGTCATAGGTTCACAGATTTAGACCTGGAAGGAATCTTCGAAGTCCATATGGTCAAGTTAAGTCAACAAACCTTTATTAAAAGCTTACTGTGTGGCAGGCACTCACCTAAGGGCTGGAAATACAAATAGGAGGCAAAAGCAAGGCAGCCCCTGCTTTCAAGGAGCTTACCTCCTAACCACATGCAAAGGAAGTTCAAAAGGGAGGGAGGGGGATGGCAGAGGTACCTGAATGGGGACATTTGCCGCTTTTATTTAGATTGTCACTTCTACTGACACATAATTGGTCAAAAAGAAACCCAACCAGGGTGGCTATGTGATTTGCCCATGGTCACAAAAATCATAGGATCACACATTTAGAACTGAAAGGGATCTTAGAGGCCATCTAATCCAATTTCCATATATTACAGATGGGGAAACTAAGCTCAAAGATTAATTGACTTGTCCAGGGTCACACAACTATTGTCTAAGGAAGGATATGAACTCAAGTTTTTGACATACATAGGAGGATAGAGCCAGGATTCAAGTCCAAGCCCTCTGACTCCAAATTCAGGGCTCTTGCTGCTGCTGCTGTTTAATCAATCAGTCCTGTGTTCTTCGTGACCCCATTTGAGGTTTTCTTGACAAAGATACTTGGAGTGGTTTGCCATTTCCTTTTCCAGCTCATTTTACAGATGAGGAAAGTGAGGCAAACAGGGTTCAGTGACTTGCCCCGAGTCACACAGCTAGTCTGAGGCCAGTATTTAAACTTAGGTCCTCCTGACTCCAGAGCCCCATCCATTGTGCCACCTAGCTGCCTCCCCACAACTTTCTGCTATATGGATCAATAATCATCAAGTATGTATTAAGTGCCTCTGTACCTGGAACTGTGCCCTTCAAAGATACAGAAAAAAGACATGGAATGTCATATGTGAAGGACAGTAAATAGGCCAACTTGGCCAGACCCTAGAGAGCCTGAATTGTGTACCAAATCTGGGAACAGTAGGCTACCACAGTGCCTCTCCCAATTGACTTTTTTCATTTCCCCCACAGTCCTGTGAGGGGGGTGAAACAGATATTATTAAACCCTTTTGCACAACTGAGGAAACTGAGGCCCAGAGAACGAAAGGGACTTTGCCACAAATTGAGTGAGTAATGGAACCAGATTGGTGTACAGGTCTGCTGATTCTCAAGTCACTGCTCTCTCTCTCTCCTGTACTCTATCATCTGACTGAGGAAAAAAAGAAAAAAATTTCTTTTCCCCTTTTCTTCCACTTCTGCCCTAAACACACAGTGGTATGCTAAAGCCAGATCATACCTTCTCCTGAGAGCCAATTGTTAACTTTTCAGTATGAGCATTTATACTTCAGAGAGCCATAAACCCTATGAATCAGGGCTTGATTTATTGTTCTGTTGATTGTTTAGACTTAAGAAAGTGATGGGGAAGATGTTAATAATGCAGATTAAATTTAAAAGTGTGTTGTACATACATTTTGGGGTGGTTAAACATTTGCCATCACACCCCAACATACATATATACACACTCATGTACGCACTGTGATGTCCAGTCCATGAATGATACATCATCATGTGACATTATGCGAGCTTTGATGATTCTCCCTCATCCTCCTGACCCTCTAGGACAAGCACATCCTCTGCTAGATTAAGTCACTTTAGGAAACAGTGATATATAAGAAGGGTCAGAAGATGACATTATGGCCCTGGAAAGGATGTGATATTCCGGGTAAACTTACCAGTTAACTAGTGGCAGGTGTTATTAATATATCAGTGCAACGAAAGAAACATAAAAGGATAATGAGTTTATATAGTGTTTGTACATTCATCATCTCATTTGATTCTCATTCGCACCATGTGAGGTAGACAGGGCAAGGATTATTTTGCATATGTTTCATGTAGACATCTATTTAGCTGTCTCCCCTGACAGAATAAAAGCCCTTGAGGATAGGGACTGTTGTATTTTTGTTTTGTATCCTCTACACTTAGCATGGTGCTTACTGATGGGCTATTGATCAGTCCCCTTGTGACAAAAGAGACAAGGTTGGGGGCAGGGGCAGTTGGAAATGATTTGTTAAAGGTCACAGCTCCGGTTAGCAGAAGAAACTGGATTAAAAAACAGATTTTTCTGACATCTACTCCAATATTTTTCCCAATGTACTATAACTGCTGTTGTAAAATATTATTGTTTGTCCTTCCTTTTTTAAGAGGACTGACATCACAGGGTGGTGTCTTGACTTGCCTGTGAATTGGATTTAAGTGAGACAGAGTTGCTCAGGGCCCTCAGCCTTACTCTCTCCTCCAGAGTTGTAGAAGTCCAGCAGCAGGACAATAGTCAGAACCACTATTGATGGCTTAGGATGCAGTGAATGACCTTGGGGTCTTGGTATCTGACCCAGCTCTAAGTGCTCCACTGAGCTTGCTTCAGCCGCCTTCATGGTGGTTGGAACAAACTGTTCTCATCCACCCATTCCACTGGGGGAAGTGTTCACATGCTTGGGATAGATACCCCTCTCACTCATGGTAGACACCCCCCTAACTCACCAACAGGTTTGAGGCCTATCAGTTGCCCTCAACCTGGTTGAGCCCATCTGCCTAGAGTCCAGGCCCTAGACAATTTGCCAAGGTATGGCTGCTGCACATGCTATAAACCTTCTTGGAGCCACAGATGAGAATTGAGTGAAAGGTGGATGATAATGGTGGATGAACAGGTCTGAAAAGGGCTTAGCAAGCCCTCCCACCAGAAGCGCTAGTCCTCAAACACCCAAATACCCCTATAAAAATATAGATGGGGAAGGGACAGCCCTGATGGAACCCTCCAAGAGTGAATCTTCCCCTAGGACTTTGGTTGTGACTCTCCTCAGGTACTTTCAGGAGCTGTGACCAGCAAGTTCTCTTTCACTCTACCTGAGTGACTCATCCACCTGTTTTCCTTGTTATATATGGTCTTGATGCTTCTTTCATATCATCAGCAATAGGGACTCTTTAGAAATTGTGGTGTTCCAACTCTGAGGTGTTCCGTACCTATCAGCTTGGTTAACGTGACAGAAAAGGAAATGATAAATGTTGGAGCGGGTATGGAAAAATAGACACACTAATGCATTGTTGCTGGAATTGTGAACAGATCCCACCATTTAGAGAACGATTTGGAACTATGCCCAAAGGAATATAAAACTGTGCATTCTCTTTGACCAGCCATATCACTACTAGGTCTGTATCCCAGAGAGATCAAAGAAAAAGGGAAAGAATCAATATATACAAAAATGTTAATAGCATCTCTTTTTGTAGTGACAAAGAATTGGAAATCAAGGGGATGCTCATCAATTGGGGAATAGCTGAACAAGTTGTGGTTTTTTATTTTGATGAAATACTATTGTACTATAAGAAATGAGGAGCAGAATAGTTTGCTTGCCTTCTCAATGGTGAGAAGAAGGGCTAAAGGCAGGGAAAGAATTTGGACTCCAAAGTTTAAAAATGTTAAAAAAAAAAAAAATATATATATATATATATATATATATATATATTTTTAAAGTGTGATGTTCCATGATTCACCTTTCTAGTCTACAGCATTGTTAGGAGTTAGCACTGTGATGATGTTAAAGGGATGAGCTTTTGTGGTAGCCAGATGCTTGGGATCACTGAAAGCACTACACAGTTCCCTGAATCAAATCCAATTTAATTTTCTCTGTTCATTCTATTCTGGACCCAATTCATTGTCCAACTGTAGTGCCTGTACAAGGTATACAGGATGTCTCAAAAGTCTTAGTGCAGTTTTAAGCTATTAATGCTTATGGTCCTTAAAATAGCTTGAAGCTATTTCAAGCTATTAAAGCTTAAAACTATACTAAGACTTTTGGAACAAGTTGTATATGCTGATAAAATACTTTAATGGGCTCCCCACCATTTGAATGTTAATTATAACAATGACAATATGTGCTTTTTGTCTACTCTGTTTTCTCTGTGTGAACAGTTAATCCTACTACTTAGTGACTATGAATTTAATTAAGAAGGGTCAATGTAATCAATACAATACCACCTGTTAATAGGACCATTGAGAGATTCTCACCATGAACAGGAATTCACTCTTCTGCTTGAAAACCCTAACTTATTTGGCCCTCATTTCTTTAAAATAAAGGAATTGGAATATATTACTTAGCGGGTTCCTTTCAACTGTAAATCATCAGCCTATGATCCTATGAGTATATGTTTTTCATTTTTATTCCTCACTTAATGTTTATACTCAGTAGATTATTGAATAGTTATCTATCTGGATATTTCTGTTACAGAATCTTGCATGACTTTTAATATCTTAAAAGAAGGCACTTTAAGGAGAAATTTTGTTCTACTGAGTCAAATGGTTTTGAAATTTTTTTGGCAGGGGAGGTGAGGCAATTGGGGTTAAGTGACTTGCCCAGAGTCACACAGCTAGTGAGTGTTATGTGTCTGAGGTCACATTTAAACTCAGGTTCTCCTGACTCCAGGGCTGGTGCTCTATCCAGTGTGCCACCTAGGTGCCCCAAAATTTTTTTAAAGAAAATAAAACAAGAGATTTTATATTCTCAGCAGCTCTCAATTATTTGTGTGATGGAAGAAGTTGCCTTCTGTGAAAAAGGATTCAAGAAAGACTCTGCCTACTCTCATCTTTTCATTAAAGACAACTTCAGTGTGTACATAGACTATTCTCATTAAGATTTTACAGAGATGACAAAGAAGGTCTAGGTATCTCTAGTTGCTAACATCCTTTCAGTATTTTTTTTTGCAGCAAAAAGTATCACGTACCTTTGATCCTGGATCAGTCACTTAACCTCCGTCTGCCTTAGT